TTTTCAGCGGATGTAGAGAAAGTCAGGATGGTAAATATAAAATTGCTACTTCTAATATATATTTCACATAGGGTGGTCTTAAAATCACCAGAAGATTTGCAGGTATCCATGAGTCACCCTAAAAGGTATTTGAACATGCTACAGATCAAGCAGTTGAAAGCATGGATTGACCTTAAAAACTCCTCTTAAAATAAAGTAAAATGTTTGTAGTAAGTACCGCCAGTTGGCTATAGCTTTTGGGCAAATCTTGGGAATTTTGGCCACCGTCGAAAGAAATGTAAGCTATTAGTCGCCGATCGGTTTCGTTCAGGTATGAGCAGAGATGTAATGCACACCGGTTGCATCTGTAGAAATGCTATGAAATTGAAAGTTTGTTTAGCTGCAGTATTGTATTTGTACACCCTTAAATTAGATTCACGTGTCTTGTCTTAGGTTCATTCACCCAGTGCAGTATCTGCATGGACAAATTATCGTTCTGGTCGACAGACTGCCATGCTGCATCAAGGATGCCTTGCTCCAAGCTGGAAGCTCTTCAGTCGTGTTCATGTGCCGGGCAGAGGTCCGCTGTCAGGTAACAATGCACGTTCTTTGCAACATGTCGATTGGTATGCTTCAGTTGTACGATGCCGCAAAGATATAATATTCGTGCGTTTTTTGTCACAGCATTTGCAACTGTTTCATGTCCCGTATAATGTTTCATATGATCACAAGCCAATCGATACTCTGCTTGATTTCTAATTTGCTTTTTAATACTGTACATATCATCACTGTCAGTACATCCCTGGTATTTCCAGCCATAAATTTTTCGAGTTATCTGTCAGCCTTTTCCGGAGTAGGCTCAGCACATTACAAAATGGTGTTGATAAGTCACTTTCGTCTCATGAGTCAGTTATAGTGGATGGCTGAAGAATGTGAGTTTTAGCTTATTTGTTTCTTCGGAATAAACATTTATGTTAATCTATGCTTGGCATATTTCTTTGAGGGCCTCTGGGGCATTTGGGAATAGTTTAGTACTTGTGATCTTGTCCGTTGTTCTGTACTGGAGCATTCCGTACCATTAAGATCACTGTGTCCAACTGTATAGTGTGTTACTTTTTTAATTCTAGCGTTTCATATTGTTACGTCAAGTGTCAATACTGGCTGACATGCGGTAAAATGTACATGGAATTTCATTGATGTACTGACAGCAGCTTTTCACAGACTATGCTGCAATACCTTATGGGTAGTTTTGTTTTCGTGATCCATTATTAGACATCTCGCTTGAGCTTGCTTCACAGCTTTTATTAATGATGGTCATAATTAAAGATAGCTAAACTGGAATTGTTGATCTACTGCACATCTTTCCATATATATTCATATTGTTTAAATCCTCTACTGCATTCCATGAAAGAATAACTTTGGCACAATATCTCAGTTCGTACTCGTCACTGATTAATCCTTCTTGATATTCTTCCTGCTTTTCTGCTGTCAAAAACATCGTAGCATAATTAGGATCGTGTCAGACATCGTATATGGTATCAGTTCGCTGAGTTGCTGGCTGTATCCAGCATCAGCGCATCGATGCACTAATGGGGAGCGTTTGTACCCTAACCGATCAGTGCCGTTATGCCCTATTGAGCGCCGACCTGTGACCGCTCCTCGAATTCGAACCACTGCGTCTTTCTCTTGTATACGTTATTCAAGATATGAAATTTTTCTGTCTGAATTCTGCGGTTTGGAGAATTAAAGTCTCATCCTCACAAATCTGAGGAACAGTGGCTTCGTTTCGTTAAAGGCGTAATATTAGAATCTGATCAGAGTGATACATCCGCCTGACCGAAGGCCGAGGTGCATCCGTGTCTTTCTCTACTACGCATTCTGGCCGAATTTCTCTGATGATACTTCTGTTAATTACCATAAAGGCGAATGGAGCGATATATAAAAAATATACTGAATATCATGAAAGATGCACTTAAAATGTAAAAATCATGACAAATTTATCAATGCAGGCACCTATCATAAAGCCTTCCGTTTTCATTTCTAAGCGTATATTTTGTAAGTTTAGACAAACAGCATTATACGTTGCCGTGGTAATTTGCAAGAGAAATTTAAAGACATGAAAACTGCTTGAAAGAAAATGAATGCTCCGCTGACAGATAGAACCGTTTCTGCGGTTTTCAGAAGGTATCTTACCCTAAGTTTGACCTTGCGTTCTCCGTAATACTATCTTTTGATTTTAGGAACGTCAAAATATAATGATTACGTACAAGTCAGCAATGTGGCTTGTTTTTGCAAGAAGTGGAAAATGGATGAAATATAAAAACCGGCAAATTATTGCAAAACTGTCACTGCAAAGTTCTTCATTCTGAAAATGTAAGTCAAACATTTGTTTGCATCGTTTTCGTTCGTTTAACAGCTTCAGTATAGTTTCCATTGCTTTCTGTGCTTCCAATCCACACTTACTGGTCCTTCTAAGGAAGGGCGCTCATTTTTTTGTTATTAGCTAGGAGTCTTTCACCAGACGCTTTTTCTGTGTTACTGCCTACCCAAGAGCATGCTTCCATCTTACCAGAAAAATCTTTCTATACTACATAAGATCTGGCAGTGCACGTTATTCGGCTCACATATGCGCGCCTGCAGTTTGTTCTGACTGAGTCTTCTCGCAGTGCTCTTTTAGATAGTCGTGCATTTGTCTGCATAGTCTGTATTTCACTCGTTATTCCTTGTAACCTGTTCAGTAATTCATGAATAATTGTTCATAATTTCTTATTTAGGTTTCTGATTCTGGGCCCATAGTCATATACATGGTGTTTGATTGATTCATGGTTTCGGGTACCAAATACAGATGGTAAATTGTTTATTGCCAACGCGTTTCACTGCACAAACTGACTCGTCCGGCACTGATGATGCTGCGGGTTATGCAATGAAATGCGTTAGCTGTAAAATATTTACCACCTGCATTTGATGCCCCCAACCATGAATCAGTCAAACAGCCATGTTCATATTTTCATTCAGTGTGGCTACTTGGGTGCTGCAACTTATTCAACGAATGATCCCATTGTACGACTGGAAATTTGTCATGAAAAATAGACATGGTTTTTTTCTGGTCTCTTTCCCATTACACTAAGAAATGAAGTTTTAATATTTGTGCATATGTTTTAATTCCTTATCCTGCTCATTATATGACAGGCCATTTTTATTACTTTTCAATCGAGGTTGACGTATTCGTAAAGCATCAAATGATGTGGATATGAAACGCCAAAAGCCCATTCATAAGCGTGATCTAAGACGTTTCGTTCCAGGTCAGTGCAAAGCGGAGAAATGGAGATTTTTTCGACGACCAAAGTTTGATACTTTATCATCTTATATTTGAATACTTTGGAGTCTCAGCGATATTTTTTCTCGAAGATTGCTTTATCTTAATTTTTGCATGAACGCTTGTCAAAGCTTAAGCGCAAAGCTGTATGGAAACCGTTTATATTATGCACAACGCAAAAGTTGGTGGATCAGAAGATAGACCGATACCTAGGTGTAATAAATAGTCAAACGGTTTGTACAACAAATGAACCGTTTTTACATTACATTCAGTGAACAGTTTAACATTTTTTTCTGTAAGTCTACAAATGCTTAACTAAACACTTTGTAATCATTTAAGATTTGTAATTTTCATCTAATATGAAACACCAAGCATGCGATCGATGTTTATTTTATAAATTTATTTCACCGCAAGCGTTTCGGCATAATAAACGTGTTGCCCATTTTAATGCCAAACAATCAGTGTAGCACGTTCAAACCAACGTATTTCGTTGTCTATTCAGCTTCCGTATTTGTTATCGTGATGCTGACCACTGTTAGTTACCTGAAGCGTTGACAGTAAAAGGAAATTGAGACGTCATCATTGACGTATTGTTTGTGGTTGTTGCCTTCGAACCTTAATTCGATTTGAAGACGAATATAAAATAAAAGTGATTTTCGACGTCAAAGGCTAATTATTAATAAAATGTTAATAGATATCTTTTAAAATAATTTTTTTGCAGGTTGTTTTTGAATATTCATGAAGTGAGACGGTGCAGTGGGGTCATCGAACAAATTCTAATGACTGT